GCATGTTTAGTGGGACGGAGATTCGAACCCGCAGATTGCGAGTCGAGCACTCTAACCACCTGGCCATGCCGGGCCATGTTGTATTTGCCCGCAAATATTGGCTTTTTAAATTGTTAACATTTTTTGCGACTTTAATGCTATTACGATGGTGTAAGCAACAAAGACATGGACCCGCGCACAACCAGTTTTGTACATAGATATATTTAAAAAAATCCGATAGGGTAGAAACCCCATTAACAGTTCTTGGGTTTGTTGAATTCTATTTAGGACACGTAAAAAAAAAATCATGTTGAATCCCCAACAGTCACCCAGATAGTTAAATCTTAATATTCAGGGTTCGTGTCCGTTGTTAAAAATACGCGCTTTACACACTGGAATTGTGCAAACGTTATAAGAGTAACGGTCAAATTCGTCGCTTCCACGAGGGCTGTGATGAAGAGTTTTCTGTAGCGTGAAACAGTGATTTCTAAATGAGAACATCTCGAATTATGGTTTGTTTTATTATTAAGATTTTACAAAAAAAAAAAATGTTGCTTGACCCTCTGATGAGTAATTTGCGTTAATAAGGGTTTTAATTTTAAAAAGATGGAGCCAACACCGATGCGACACAAGAAAAAATAACACTCTGAAAATGATACCTGTTGTAATGAATACACTGATGAAAAATGGCGCTCGTAATTCATGTAATGTGTGTGTGTGTGTATTAGGCTTTTTTTGAAAGTAATAAAGATCACACTTTTTTGTGAAGAAACTGTCTCATTTTTAATTTGTCGTTTTCCATTATAACTGGTACTATTTTGTTATCAGTTGGGTAAAAAGCGAGAATCCCGAAGACATTGTAATTTATGGTCTCAGATAATTCCAGACAAATCAAGATTATTTTATCGTTGTTCAGAAAGATCGCGGTATTGTTTTAAAGTTTAAAAAAAAACGTATTTTCAACTTCTTGTCCTTGTTCAGAAAGTACAAACAATCCCCTGATGGGACAGCGATAAGTTTACGGACTTTACAACGCTGAAATCTGGCGTTCGATTCCCCGCGGTGGACAACACAGCAGGTGTGGCTTTTTTGCTCTAAAACAAAAAAACTCTTTGTCTCCAGTGGCAGAGCGATAATTCTGAGGACTTATAACGCTATAATCCGGGTTTCGATACCCGTGTAGACACAACACAGTTGGCCCATTGTGTAGCTTTGTGCTCGGTTACAAACAAACACAATTTTTTTTACCCGTGTCATCATTACCGGTGCCATCTTTTGAAGGATATTTTTTTTGTTACATAATTGTTTAAAGGTGTTTATGGCAAAAGAACGTCCAAATGTTTAAAATGTAAGGATGTGCCGTGAAGATACGCGACCCTTTCAGGTGTAAAAGTAAACAATTATATAGAATATAACGTACAACATAATGTAGAATTAGTAAACGACCTCCCCTTATCCTGTGGGGTTCAAAGCGATAACTGATGCAAATCGCTAACAGTGGACACATCCTGGATTTTAACGGACTCCCCACGTCCTTTGGGGGTTCAAAGCGATAACTGATGCAAGTCGGTAACCGTGGATAAATTCTGAATTTTCATACCCTGCTATCTCGCTATACAATGGCGGAGAGAAAAATACAAGGTGGTTTACTTTCATACGTTTGGTAAATAAATAAGCATTGAATTACGTAAGACTGAACCTTTGGGATCGGGCACGACAACCATCGTCTTCTGCTTTGCAAAAATGGTGTTGAATAGGTGAACACAAAAATATTCAACCCTCGTGAAGGTCACTCGTTATACACGTGAATGTAATGACGTCATGCCCTGTTACTTAATGAGTAACTTTCATAGTGTCAGTTGCCTTGGTGAAGGCTGTTTGGTTCCCGACCCTTACAGTCGACAGTTTAAAAATCATTTAATCTTGTCGTAAACTAGAAAAAACACTTTTCTGAGGTTATTATATCTTGTTCCTCTGGTTTCACTATATTATAGTTCCCTATTAGCACATTTAATTCGGTGTGTTTTTCGTGAACCCAGCTTCTAATAATTAGATAGTAAAAATTATTGTAGTTTTTGCCCTACAGTGGCACAGCGGTATGTCTGCGGACTTACAACGCTAGAATCCGGGTTTCGATACCCGTGGTGGGCAGAGCTCAGATAGCCCATCGTGTAGGTTTGTGCTTAATTACAAACAAACAAAGTATTTTAATATAGATTGTTAACCCTAAAATTACGATAAGGTGTATATACTGTAATATGTTGAGTTATTATATGATTTTTTTTCTCTTACATCAGTTGTTGTAAGGAAAGTGCAAAGAAAAAATGAAATCCCTCTTTTTTTTGGTGTGTCAAATACTCAGGGGGATCCCAGCACTAATTAATGGGATTAATTACAATATCGATGGTGTGTTTTTTTTAACATTTTTGTGGCATGTTATTACGAAACTTATAACCAACCAACAAAATCAGGGAACGTTCAGCAATTTGGTGCATAAATTGTTTAGAAAAAATTGTTCAAAACTGATATGTAACTTACTATAATGTATATTTGTGTGTTTATAATACCTATTATAAAAGAACAAGTCCACTGATATATATAAACTAAGCTGTGTTTATGAAC